TTCAAACACTCTCTACAAGCTGATTGACAAACCTGCTCTTTCAAGAATATGACAACCGCTTTATTCATACGTGAAGCATACGAAATGTTTCCATGCCCCACCCGCTCACCTACAGCCAACAGCACCTGCTCGACAGCGGTGCTCGGCTGCGGCACCACCCTGACTCCATGCTTCAAAGACAGGGACAGCGTCCCACTGGACGCCATCCCTGTCAAACTGAAATACAAACGACACAATCACAAACAGGTCCCAAAGTCAAACGAACACTGCAGCATCACTGAGAGTTACAAACTGTCTAAATTCTTTCATCTGTAATAAAATGATCAGCGTTGCTGCTTTACCAGGTGTAACTATTAAGTTTAACATCCAGGATCCATGAAAACAGAATTTATTACATTTAGCGGAGTTAGAAGTTAACAGGAAGTTAGCTCGCTAGTTTCGCTAGTTACCTAAACTTGATATAGCATGTTCTGACAGAGAGATTTCTGATAAAATTCAAACGTACAGCTCTGCTGTCACTTCCAACTTAAATGAAGACAGAAAACTAAACAGCAGTGACGTTTGTAGGGTTACTGAAGTTGGGCTAGCTGGTATATACTGATGTGCTATGTGGTGGCTAGCGACACAGCTATGTTAGCATAAACACAGTGAAGCTGGAGGATGAACACTAACTTTTTTCCCACTTGATAAAAGTTAACGTGAGGGTTCCTGACGGTTAGAGACAAATGCAATCGCATGGCAGGATGCTGTAAAAGGACCAAACTTCTGTCAGGAGAACAACTGAGATAATCCATCCACAATATGAGGTTAGCCATTAATATACTGCAACGACATGGGAAATTTTTATATAGCATTAATGCACATAAAAACAGCTGCTTGTTTAAGTGAAAATAAATGCTTGGGGTTTTTTTTTGCACTAGTAAAGTTGTGGAGTTTTATTTTGTCTCGCATCAATTATGTCAGTTATATTGTTATCACAAATTTTCAAATATATATCGTGATAAATATTTTTGGCTCTATTAGATACAACTTGTTGTGCAAACAAGCCTCCAAAACTTAATAAATATAGAATATGAAAAGTAACAAGGCTAAATAATTATATAAACGTTTCTCAATCTAAATAGTCTATTATCATCTAGTTTTGATTCTGGTTCTGTTTTGGTTAAGTCCTCAGTAGTCCTGATTTTGAACTGTTGTAGTCCTGTTTTAATTCCGGATCAGTTCTGGGTCTGGTTGAAGTTTAGTCCCTGTGTCTTGATACAGCCCTGACTAGGGATGGGTATCGTTCAGGTTTTATCCGATACCGGTGCCAAACCAGTACTTTTGAAACGGTGCCGGTGCTTAAACGGTGCTCAAAGAATGGAGAACACACACTTTGTCCAAAAACCTCTCAGCTATGCAGCTATGGGGCATATATGGTATCACTCTTGGCTGGAAGCAGCTTAAACAATGGAAAAAACACAAACTTTGTCCAAAAACCTCTCATGTTTAACTGTTTTCCACTTTTTCTTTGGTCATTTTAGCCTTTTTGTCCAGGGTGAAGGGAGTATCTGCCATCAAACAAGAAGACAGCCGCATGTAGCTATGATGATGTTTGCTAGTTCACCTTACATGCGTTAATGTAATAACGTGGTTAGCCTACTCAACGTAAATTACACACGAACAACATGAAGCTACTCACGCAGAGAAGAACGGCTGCTGCTGCTAGGGCTGCTCAATTAATCGAATTTTAATCTCGATTACGATCTGGGCTTTCAACGATCATTAAAAATGACTGAGCCGATTATTAGCCCCTCCCTCGTGCTTTACTCTCGCGCTGCTCCATGTGGCAAATAGAGCGCACCTCTCTGCATTTCGAACACGTGTCTCAACAATTAAGAGGACCCGAGGGAAGCTCGGAAAGCTAAGCAGCAGTGAGGAGGGCTGTGCGAAAGCAAAAACACATAAATATGCCTGAAACCCGTAAACGAAGCAGCATCTGGCTGCAGTTTAAAGACTTCTCAGTCTCGATACCCTCTGGTCTTGGTCTGGGTTTAGGTGGTCTTGACTACAAGTCTAGTGTGTTCTAACAAACATCGTCTCTACTGCACGAGGCTGTAACATAACCCTGCATCTGCCTGTCAGGGTTAGCAGCTTTCTGCTCCATGTGTTCACACTCTTATACTGAGCACCGCACTGTGTTTGTCAGCTAAAGGACCAACCGTTTGCTTTCTTGTTATTCAAACTGATCCTGAAGTAAGACTTCACTATGTCAGAGGGAACAGCGATGATGCCGGTGTGTCTTTAAACAGCTGTCATCTTAACGTGGCCCTAACACTTCTTCACACATATGCGAGTCTGCCAGCTAGCTACAGCTGCTAGGATAACACATGAGCTCAGCGAGCTGCTAAACATGTGGACCTGAACAAAGGTGAGTGGTGATGTGCTCCCACCCAGAGGTGCAGTCCTGTGGGATCCACAGCTGAGGCAGTAGTTGCGGCTCATGAGCCCCCGTTCACACAGGGAGTCCACCTGCTCGTCGTCGTACAGGAAGCTGTCCACGTGAACCGTCGGCCGTGACCGCCGCTGCATCTGGAACACGTACCAAAGCTTCCTCGTCATCCTCATCATCACCACACCTCTCTCCATTAACATCATGACGCTCAGACCTGTCTCCACTAACACCAACATGGACACTCACATAGGAGGACACTGAGTGTCTCTCATGATCAGACGTACGCAGCAGACGCACAAACACAAAATACTGAACTATAATGGCTCAATATTTTTAAACTTCAGAGAGGTTTGAAAATGTTTGTAAGCCCCAAAAAATATGGCGTTATTTTTGTGCCACTATTCTGAACACACGTAAAAAGAGTTTGCAGGTGCAAGTGTTGCATTTTGAGAAATTTATTTTGAGCGAAGAAAAGCTGAATCTGAGTGAACAAAATTCATTGCTGCAAAAACTGTATTTCAGTGTTTGCAATTATTCACACACACACACACACAACAGCAGCCCCTCTCGTTCAGGTTTTGCATTTGCGCTCGCAATGTGTCGCAATCTCCGAAAACGTCAGAGCAGTTATGTGATGTCCTGATAAATCGAGCAGATATTTGAAGTTTACACAGAAACATTCTCACATGAAAATATCTTAAAAGTTTATTTTGTGACCCAGAAAGAGTAACATTTCAAACTCCGCCACTCTGCTTTGCTCCGCCACTGCCTCGTTTGAGTTTTGGACGAAATGGATTCTGGGATATTGCATTTCATCATTTCGAGCTGATTGGAGACCAGAACAGCCAATCAGATTTTTTTGCATCCAACTCTGTGATTGGCTGGTTTTGTGTCACAAATATAACGGTGTAGAGAAAGAGTTGAGCGCGCACGGGCAGAAATGTAGAGCAACACGTTGCGAGTGAGCGCAAATGCAAAAACTGAGCGAGAGGGGCTGCTGTTGTGCGTGTGTGTGTGTGTGTGTGTGTGTGTGTGCGTGCGTGCGTGCGTGTGGATAATAGCAAACACTGAAATACATTTTTTGCACGCAGGAATGAATTTTGTTCACTCAAATTCAGCTTTTCTTTGCTCAAAATAAATTTCTCTTCAAAATACAACACTTACACCTGCAAACTTTTTTCCGTGCGCTCAGAATAGTGGCACAAAAATAACACCATAAAAAACTATATAAAAATATTATATGACTAAATATCTAATAGTGTTTTTTATTTTAAGTCAAATAAATATTGGGGAAAAGCTTGAAGTAAAATGAAAACTGCATATTAAACACAATGTGGGCGTGGCTCTGTAGTACAGTCATGTAAACATTAATGGAAGTTGTGTCACAAACACTTATTTGCCTCCAAAACACAGAAAACTTCTTTTTAAAAGGCCAAACAGAGCTGTGATGATTAGAAACAATAATAATAATAATAATAATAATAATAATAATAATGGATTGCATTTATATAGCGCTTTTCTAGGCACCCAAAGCACTTTACAATGCCACTATTCATTCACTCTCACATTCACACACTGGTGGAGGCAGCTACAGTTGCCCTGGGACAGACTGTGGCTACAATCAGTGTAAAGTAAATTAAGTAGTAACACCACTTTTATTATTAACTTATGGAGGTCATAATGAACTTCTGATCACAGAGTGATGCAGGAGCACTGATCAGTATTCAGACAGTACCTTACTGTAGGCAGCGGTCTCAGAGGGCAGCATAGCGTCGGGGGGCACATTAGCCCGCAGGTCCTCTGCAATACTCTGCAGCAGCACCCTCCCGTTATCTCCCAGCAGCTCGTCCTCCAGCTCATCTGCAAGAATGCATTCACACACACACACACGCACACACACACACACGCGCGCGCGCGCTCCTGAGTAAAGCGGAAGTGACGCTCAGCAGTGACAGCATGCTGTCAGTCTGTGGGGAAGATGCAACAAACTCGTAAAAACCCCGAAGCGTCCCACTGTGTATTACTCCTGAAGTGTGCGTGACTGTGGAAACAGCGCGACATGGTGACGACACTGTGAGGAGTCCCCCGCTGAAGCCGTGACCCACGAAGCCCACGCCACACGTGCAGTGTGTTTACCTGAGTTCTTCATCCAGCCCAGCAGCTGCGTGAGTTCAGCCGGCCTCAGTCTGCTCAGCAGCCGCTTCAGCTCTGATTTAGCTTCAGCCACGTTCATGTTCACGCTGGAAAACACGCAGGAGGCTGTTACAGGCGCTGCACGCCTCTGAGAGACGCCGAGCTTCTTCTTCTCTGGCTTTAATGGCGGTCTGCACGCGTTCACGCTGCACTACCGCCGCCTATCACGCTATGCAGTCATTGTCTGGAAGGCTAACAGTGGCGTAAAACTGGCTTCAATAAAACTTAAATAAGGCCGTAAAACCCGTTAGTGCGTATGAACGAGCTTCTTCTAGTCCCGCCGGGCACTGCTGGAGGTCCGTGTTTCCCTGACCTGACGGGTCCCAAGCAGCAGCCTGAGGACATGTCAGTCCAGCGGTGCCTGTCAGCACTCCTGCTGCAGCATTTGGCATAAACACAAGGTGATGATGATGAATGACAGTAGCCGAGGACAAATAAACCCAGGAACTAGTTTTTCAGCGTCACTCTGACACAGCTTGTTTCTAATTCTAGAGATATTCTGCAAACACAAGAAATCATCCCAACATATTTGTTTAGTGGACACTTTGGAGGACATATCCAGGCAAACATACTGGCATCCTGTACACTATTGTTTAAAAATACTCTGGTGAAAGCTAAAGTACTGATTCAACTTCTTTACTTAAGTAAAAGTGAAGACGGATGTGTTACTGCTGCTTTTGCTCAGCAGCTGATCAGAGTTTCCTCCTCTGGTGTTCGTCCCCCTCCTTTCTTTCTTTCCTGTCCCCTGTCCTGTCGGGTTCTGATTGTAATACCTCAAAATGAAAAATTGAATAAATTCATACATTTACAATAATAATAATAAAACATGACAGTCACGTGGAAGCTGTATTAGTCTGCTTGGGAAAATAAATCTGTTCTGGTCTTTTTTCGGCCTTCAGACAATAATTCTGATTGTTACAGTGACAGGGGGAATAAAAGAGTAGCAGTAGTAATCCAAAAAATAAATACATTTAATAAAACAAAAAAGGAGAGCGATGTGATGCAGTCAGTCCTTTCAGCTGTCACCATCAGGCCACAGTTATCGTCTCCCCCTGACAGACAGACAGATGCTTTGAAGCAACTCAGCACTGCAAGCTGCAACTTCACGCAGCTCTCCTATTTATTTATTTATTTATTTATTTATTCAACAATTTCTACAACTGACGTATGTAAAACTGGCCCAATCATATTTGATGTTACATTCAAGTGCGCTCGGAAATCTCTGTTCAAGCATTGGTAGGAGAAACCAGACTACAGAAATCATTTTCTGGAAACGAAAACAAGAAAATGATCCTAAAAACCAAAAGTGTTTATATTTTTGTTTGTTTTGTATTTTGAACACATTTTGTTTATGCTGTAGTTTCAGAGTGGCTGTCATCAGGTCATCTGCTGATTGGCAGGTGGTTCCACCTCCAGTCTGAATGCTAAAGCTTTTGGGGCATCACGTCCAGTAAGACAGTTAGACAGAAAGCACCTATGCGTAGAATAAAAGTGCTTCATGGACGAGTCGTGTTAGCGCTTTGAGCGGCAGCGGGCTATAATAGAAATGCGCTACATTATAGCCGCTGCATTCACCATATTCACCTTTCTGTGAGCTGGCCCGGTTGGCTTACAGAGGGTCACTTTAAACGGTCTGTGTGCTGGGACAGCTGAACGCCAATGAAACACGTATTGGTTCAAATAATTGGGACCGTGTCGATGTTCGTCTGTCCCACTGTTTGTGAACGTCGCACAGACTGACTGAAGCGCGTCTGCAGCTCTCCCATCAGTAACGGGACTAGGCCGACATGAACACGGAGGAGACCAACGTAGAGATGAAGGATGCTGAGCACAAGGACGAGGCGGGTCCCGCTCAGGTGGACGCTGATGCCACGGAGGCCGATGTGAGCGAGGCAGATCTGGAGCAGGAGGAGCAGGAGAAGCAGCCGATGACGGGAGGAGACCAGACCGCCGACACACCCTCTGCCAGCGGGCAGGAGGCACCGACGACGGCGGAGAAGAATGGCTTGGTGAAGCTGAAGATCCCCGACGAGGAGGAGGAGGTGAAATTCACTGGGCTGAACAAGGAGGAGCTGATGAGGGTGGCGGGCACCCCGGGGTGAGGAGGACACACTGCGCACACCCCTGCAGGGCGAGGCTCTGTCGTTCCTTTTATTTATTTATTTCTGCATGAGCGGACACCAGCATGCATCTCATGTATGCAGTAAACCTGTGACGCGCACAGTACTGCTGAGCCTGTTTCTGTGTTTGGATACGCAGGTAAACGTTGGTGGTTTGATAGAAGTGAAGAAAGATCGCCTACAGTTCAACAGTTTGGCAATGATAACAGCTTTTATTACAATGTCGGTTTTTACACCATGATTTTTAATCCAGATTCCAAAACACGTTTGAACCCCATCTCACATTCAAATGAAAACACAATACTTAAAAATAGCTGCACACATTCCCATCTCCAGAAACATCTGGGAACTAAGGAGGCCGACTGCTGGACCGCTTCTTTTTCATATTTTTAATCAGGTGGTGTATGAGATGTTTGGATTAGTCTGGTCTGCAGGCAGGCTTTTCTGCTGTAATAGATGCAGTAGTTGAGCAGTGTCTCTTGGAAATAAGCCTGAATGAGAATCTTCAATGGAGCGTATGTCACTCTCCAAACCTAGTTTCATTTTGACTGCTTAGATTATTTTTGCTTTGCACACAGAAACTAACACGATTAGCTCCCCTGATGCTAACAGTCAGCTTAATATCTTGCAGTCATTTGCACATGTCGCCTGAGCAATCACAGACCGTCGCCCACCCTTCCTTGGTTAATCTCTCAACTCCTCCATATTTGATGATCTTCTAGCATCGACTTCAGTTTCAGTGGGGTTCAAGTCAGAGCTTTGTACATGCTACGGTTGGCATGATACTAAACCAGAAGCAGAGTAAAAACTGTACCTCAGTGCAGCAGCCCCCTATGAGCAGCACTTTGGCGACAGTGGGAAGGAAAAACTCCCTTTTAACAGGAAGAAACCTCCAGCAGAACCAGGCTCAGGGAGGGGCGGGGCCATCTGCTGTGATTGGTTGGGGTGAGAGAAGGAAGACAGGATAAAGACATGCTGTGGAAGAGAGACAGAGGTTAATAACAGATATGATTCAGTGCAGAGAGGTAGCTGCCAGCATCTGTAGGCCATCACTGCCATTAAACCTGTGACCGCAGCAATATGGTCGCGACCAAAGCAAACACAGCCAGCTGGAGACTACACATTTTTCCTGAGGGTTAAAATCAGTCCCTGTCTTGTCTTACAGTTTTAATAAGAGGAGGGAGGGACACAGGTTCAAATCTACCAAGGACAGCAACAAAAACAAAGATGTTTAATTGTTGCATTCTTAACCACAAAAAAGACTCGGAGGTGGACTGAAAGGAGTTAGTTGTACTAAGAAGGACGCGAGATTTGTGGAAATAAATATCAGAGAAAAGCTTCGTTTTTTATTTCAATATAAAAATGTTGTATCACAATATCATTGCCATAGCAACACCATTATTATAATCCTGGTTTAATATCTCAGTTCAGTGCACAACATTTTAGTTTTTCTGTGCAGGCTCTCAAACCGTGACAAGCAAAGTAAACTACAGAGATTTTTCTGTCTGACTCATGCTGTGTCACTCTGTGCTCCTCTGCTTTCTGATTCATATAGTGTCAGGGATGACGGCAGTGAGACCAGCTGTCATATGATATTTGGAGACAGTGGCATTGACAAAAAGTCAGGAGACAGTACCGCAGTGTAGAGAACGTAAAGATTTCTGTCTGGCAGCAGAGGGAGAGCTCAGGTTTGGAGATAAGAGAAATCAAGAAGAGGTGTAAGAATGTAAGAATGTGAAACATTTAACACAGTAGTTAATACAGTACTTTACTTTAAATGCAGTATTCTTGACATTTGATCAAATAGGAAGAAGTTAAAAGGGTTAAATGTTAAAAGTTAAATGTTCAGAAAAATAAGTACGAGGCATTTGTTGGGATAAACGGACTGGTTCTTATATGGAGCTTTTCTACTGTCTGATGCACTCAAAGTGCTTTATACAGCTAATTCATTCACCCGTCTACACAAGCACTTCTTCTAAGTTTAAGTGCTAAGTATATAACATTCATACACATTCACACTCATGGATGCATCGGAGAGCAACATGGGGTCAGTATCGTGCCCAAGGATATTTGGCATGCAGACTGGAGCAGTCTGGGATCGAACCACCGACCTTCTGGTTAGTGGCTGCTCTGCCACCTGAGCTACAGCCACCCCCATCCCTGAGATGAAACAGTGCCCACAGGTGTCTGATAAGTTTACATGGCAACAATATCAACAGGCGTGGGCTTTAGCAGATTTGTTTCACATATTTGAACACTTTGACCTTTACATGTTCTGGGTCTTTTGGCCAAGACGTGAAAATTGTCGAAGGTGTCACAAGGGAAACAAACATTTCAGCATTCATAGCCATGGTGCGTTTCCAGAGTCACTTCAGTCGTCCAGAGAATCACGTTTGGGTTCCTGCAGGACGCAGAGCCTCACCTCATTGATAATCCGGCCTTTTCCTGTTTCTCAGCTGGGTGAGGACCCGCTGGGCGCTGCTGGTGGTGTTCTGGCTCGGCTGGTTGGGGATGCTGGTGGGGGCCGTCCTCATCATCCTGCAGGCCCCTCGCTGCAAAGATCTGCCCAACACCAACTGGTGGAATGATGGGCCTCTGTACCAGATCGGAAACATCCAGGCTTTCACCGACACCCACAACCTGAAAGGTGAGTCCAAACATAGACAGAGATCATACATGAATATCATCTTTGCATCATTCTCCAATAAATGTGTAACGTCCAACATGTCTGTAACTCTCTGCTCAGTTATCTATGCTGTGTTTTCTAAACACAGTCAGATGTAAAATCAGGCAAACACAACGTCAGCAGCTGCTCAAGTATAAAAGAGTCACCACAAAGAAACATCACAACAGTGAACTACTGCTCCTCCTCATTGTGTGTGTTTCCAGGCCTGGAACAAAAGGTCAACAGTTTGGCTCAGCTGAAGGTCAAAGGGCTGGTGGTCGGGCCGATCCACGTAGCGCCTCCGGATGAAGCTGTGAACCTGAGCTTTGAGGAGATTTCCCCCGAGGCTGGAAACCTGGACCAGTTTAAGGGTTTCATCCAGGCTGCTCATAAAAAGGGTCAGGGAGACAGCCTTCTACAGAAACAGCTCATGATGTTTTCTGTCCCGTATCAGTGGGAGTCATGCTGACAACAGACCAGAATGATTGTTTCACTAAAAGGCTCTGAAAACTCAAAGAGATCAACTCAAGTATATGAAGAACGACACCAAAGCACACATGTACTTACTGCAGTACATTTGCTCCTCTCACCTGTGCAGGTGTTTTCGTGGTTCTGGATTTGACTCCAAACTATCTGGGCTCGTCCGGGCCCTGGTTCTCCAACAGCAGTGTGACGATTGTAGCAGAGAGGCTGAAGGTGAGTGCTTGCTGATGTCACACACATGCTGCTGACTGCTGTTCAGCTAAATGTGCCAGAAATCTCAGTCATTATTGCTTCCAATATTAACATTAACAACATGTTTAGCTGAATCCAGTTAAGTTATTATTCATTAAAAGAAGCCATCAGGTGGGTAACAGAAATGACGAGTGTGTCCGTGTGCCTCAGTCTGCTCTGGTGTTCTGGCTGAACGAAGGCGTGGATGGCATCCAGCTGTCAGGGGCGGAGCGCGTGGCCACAGTGGTGCCGTCTCTCTGGAACGACATCCGAGCCATCGTGCAGAACAGGACGGACAAGCATCCCAACAGCAGGTGAGGAAAACAGCGTGCCTGGATGTCACGAGTACTATCAGAGATTTCATGAAGCAGGAGATGGCAGCACCACCAGGAAACCACCAGCTTTACCCACGTCTGTATTTCTGTGTCTTGTCATTTAGATTACATTTGAAGTTTGTAAACATGTTTACTATGCAAGTGTCCCTTTACTCTATGAAGCCGTTGGGTTGTTATTCCAACATAGCAGATACAACAACCCAACACTTCATGTAGCAAACACCTGCACATGAACGTTCCCCATGGTCCAGAAAAGTACTCTTTGGTTTTGGTTAAATCGCTCGATGATTTTCTCACTCAAATATTGCAGAACATTTACATACAGTAGAGTTTTTCTGTGGCTGACAGAGGCTGTGTATTCTGCCCTGCTGTTACTGCCTGGGACTGTAACCTCGTCCCACCAGGGTGAACCTTGCTTTCTCCTTCACAGGGGTTTTCTGAATCACTCTTCCTCTGGTAGACCCTACTGAGGCCATATGTCCAGAACTACATAGCTCTGCTTTAGGACCAGATCATTTCTATTCTGTGTTTACCTGAGAAACTAAAAATCCTGCATTAACATCAGTTAATCTCTGGATTACGTAAACTGAACCTTGTGATTTTCAGAGTCTTGATTGGCGTCACAGACCGCTCCTCTGCTGAAGATGTGTCTACCCTCCTCTCTTCCACGGGTGTTGACCTCCTGATCTCCCGGGTCCTTCGTTCACATGACACGGATGTCACGGAGCTCGCTCGCTCCATCCAGCACTTGTATTCGTCCCAGAGTCAGATGAATCTCGCCTGGAATCTGGGGGGGAGGCTCGAGGGTCACATGGCTTCACTGGTGGGCCCAGCTCTAGTTAAACTGCATCAGTTACTGCTGCTGACATTGCCCGGGACGCCCATCTTCAGCTACGGAGACGAGATAGGTCTGATGGACGAGGTGAGGACAGGAAACTCTCAGGAACGTACTTCAGTATTTTAATAAGCTCGTGTTCTTTACTTCAGCCTCGTTGTAGTTACAGAGAAGCACAAAGCATGAATACATATGAATACATATTGTACTATTACTTTGTTGTGATATTAAGATTTTATTATTTCCACGAAAGGACACCAAGTTTCCCAAGATGCTTTGGGACTCCAATGAGGAGCTGAATGGGACTCTGCAGGTAAGATTAGATGAAACTTCATTAATCCCTCAGGTGGGAAAGTTTCCAGTAGCATCGACAGAAGTTGCATGTTACAGAGTTGAAATACTAAATAAAGGGGAATGAGAGTAAGGATATGAGCATGCCATGCATACACATATAAATACAGAATATATAATAGGATAAAACAAACAAACTCTCAGTACTGCAGAGGTGTGTTATTTGAGTCGATTGTGCGGGTGGAGCGTGTTTTGAATAAAATCCCATAGTAATACACATGCTGGTAATGCAGTCGACCTGGTGTGGTAGTGACAGTATAACCTACTAAAGCTTGGTCCCTGTTTGTGCATTCAGCCTGCATAAACAAAGTTTATTAACATTCATAACTGGGGGGTAAGTTTGATTTAGTTACTGTGTAATTAGTCATTCAAAGAGGAGGCTTCGCTTCAGACAGAAGTAAAACTGGACCAATGATGCTCAGCTCTCTCGTCTGTGATCTCAGAAACCACTTTGCTGGTGTCTTTAGACTTTAGTGTCACGTCTTATTGAATCCAGGGAATCCATCCATCCTAGAAGGGAAATTCTAGTTTCATGTCATTGAGTCTTGGCATTGAGATGGTGCCAGTATGTTCAGCAGGCCGTCTCCACTGCTCTCTGCTGCTTCTTACCTTTCTGCTAATATGCTATTCAGGTGGCTCTGCATTGCTAACTTATGACCGGCTTACTCTTCTAAGTCTCTGGCCACCAAAAATTTCAGTGGGGGTTTAAGCCACGCCATAGCATAAGACTGAGAGTCTTTAATGATCTTCTCTCAATCGCTGACTCAGGCGCCCTGTGGTGTTAATTTTGCTTGATTTGTCCTCTGCTTTTGATTTGGTGGACCATAATGTCCTTTTAATGAGGCTTGAGGATCTGGTGGGCATCACGGGCAGTGCCCTTAGCTGGTTTAAATCTCTCAGAAAGGTCCTTTTCTGTCACCATGGGTACCTATGCCTCCTCCATTGTCCCTGTTACCCCTGGTGTCCCCCAGGGGTCTGTGCTGGGTCCCATGCTGTTCTCGTTATACTTGTTACCTTTGGGCCGAATCTTTGATAAATGCAACTTTTCTTTCCACTTCTATGTGGATGACATTCAAATCTATTTTGAACTAGCTGAGGCTGTCACGTCGTCATTGCAACACTTCTTTGATTGTATGAATGAAGTTAAAATCTGGCTACTGAGCAATTCCCTCTTTGATACTCCCTCCTCTCAGGCTGAACTAACTGGTATTTTTGGGCCCTTTGCTGACTCCCTTTCTGACACTGTGAGGAACTTGGGTGATGTCTTGGACAGTTCCTACAAGTTGGACAAACATGTGTCCTCCGTAGTTAAATCGAGTTTCAATCAACTACGTCTAATCTCTAAGGCCAAGCCCTACATACCACGTAAGGACCTGGAGAAACGTATCCATGCCTTTGTTACATCCAGATTAGATTACTCTAATTCCCTTTACACTGGTCTCCATTCTGCCCTCGTTCACAAACTGCAGCTCATTCAAAATGCGGCTGCGCGTCTCTTAACTGGAACTGGCAGGTTTGAGTCTATTACTCCAGTTCTCTCCGACCTGCACTGGCTCCCTATTAAATTTCGCATTGATTTTAAAATCTTATTGCTCACTTTTAAAATCATAAATAGCACCGCGCCCAGCTAGCTTACGGATCTCCTCAGCTTTCATACCCCTGGGAGAGCGCTTAGATCAGCAGGCCAAATGCTCCTGGTGCGACCTAGATCTCGGCTCAAGACCAGAGGTGACCGCGCATTCGCCGCTGTCGCACCCTACCTCTGGAATAACCTCCCTCTAGCTATTCGGGCGTCTGATTCAATTCAATCTTTTAAATCTCAATTAAAAACTTATTTGTTTAGCCTTGCTTTCCCCGCCTCCTAGAGCCCGCGTTTCTGGTGTACTGTAAGTTATCTTTTTCGCTTTATTAATGTTTATAATGTTTTAACCTTCAGCCTTTCGGGTTGTGCCTACTACGCCTGGTGTATTATTGGTTAGTTATGTCACCCGCCTGTTAGTATATTTTATTTGTATTTGTATTTATTATTGCTCGTTCTGTGAAGCACTTTGGCATACCTGTGGTTTTTTAAATGTGCTATATAAATACAATTGTATTGTATCTGTGTGCATGTGTGAATCAGATGATAACTTAGCACTCCATCATGTAGGCTACATATCATAACCCAACAACATGGAATTCAAATGACTGTGGCTTCACAAGTCATTGCCATAACCCATGGCAGATGGTAGTCATGGTGACCACATCCATCTTTTGAGCAGATGTGATTATGAACACCTTCTCTGCTCTTCTGCAGCTTTGCTGTTATTGGCTGTAGTTGTTCGAGCAGTATTGTAACCTAGCAGCCTACCGATAACAGTTAATATCACATAGTGATCGTGTGCTCTCTCTGTGCAGGAGGAGCGGGCTGAGCGCCTGACCTGTCGCAGGTTTTTCAGCACTGTGAGTGAGCTGCGGGGTAAAGAGCGTTCCCTGCTGTTTGGAGACTTCATCCTCCTTTTTAACTCCTCCTCCTCCCTGGCTTACCTGCGAACGTGGGATCAGAACGAGCGTTACCTCGCCGCCTTCAACTGGGCTGCAGAGGAGTCAGCGGTGCTGCAGCTGAGCCACACAGTGCTGCCCCCCAAGGCTGTGGTTGTTCTCAGCACCAACAGCAGCACAATGCCTGCCGACAGCAGCGTGGATCTTACAAACCTGCGGCTTGGCCCCGGGGAAGCTGCGCTGCTCAAGTTTCCCTACACGGGATAGAAAAGATACTAGCAGAGATTAGATGTTGATGAAAGTCAGATTCAGAAAGATCATGGTGAGGTGAGGGGAAATATTGTCGTCTAATTACATACAACCCATCATTTCAGATTCAGTGACTTAGTGATAACGACTAATGATGTTATTTCATGTGAAAATAATATAAATGCTCTCAGAAGCTAAACAAAAAGGCTTTGTAAAATGTCCTGGTAGTTGCCTGTTGTCTTGCTAACAAATACGCTAATATTGAAGCATGCTTATATATTTGACACTTCCCAGAATCTGATGTCTTACATTCATCCAGAATAAACATGCAGAAATATCTGTGCTCATCATCTATGATACTGCAAACGGATTCAGAACTGTGTTACGTAACCAGCAACAGTTAGAATAAATGTGGCCAATCATGGGCAAAGATGTGGTATTGTGTTCAGTTTAGTGACCTCCCTAAAGGTCAAGCTTACTGGTTAGTAGCAAATGCTTCAGAGTGCTCTGATGTATGATGTCATTATTTCTTCTTGGATGTATTGGTTATGTCTTATATGACACGTCACTTTTCCTTTCTGTATTGTGAATTCTAGGAAAACATGAAAAATAAAAATGAAAGAAAAGCACAGCATCCATGAGAGTCTGTCAGTTTTTGTAGTTTTAAGTTCCTCGTCTCCAGTTAAACCATTAAAGTCACATGCAGGCTTATATAGAGTGATGCTCGGTCTATTTAAAGGTCTTAAGCTTGGCGCGATGTCCAGGGGATCCATGGTGTAAGTGACCGAGAGCAACAGAAGGTTTAAGCATGCACGCTTACAAACATAAATCATTCTAGGCCAAAGGCCTGGGACACATTTAGCTTCTAACTGCATTTGAGTTTGCCTAGTAACAGGTGACAGAAGAAGAGTGAAGAAAAGTGTCAATCCTCAGGGACCCTCTGGAGGGTGAAACAGATTGGCATATATGGAAGAATGTGATAGAAGGAGGAACTTCTCTGTCTGTTTTTAGCTTTCTGAATGAATATTTACTGTAACTGACATATACGTATGTGTATATATATATATATATATATATATATATA